GGTGGTGTGTGTGTGTGTGTGTGTGTGTGTGTGTGTGTGTGTGTGTGTGTGTGTGTGTGTGTATATATATATATATGTATGTATTTTTTTTGTTGTTTTTTCTGGAAGACTGGGGAGGTGGGAAAGGGGCTGGGCCCAGGACCAGATCTCCCTCGTTCTTCTAGCTGCACCACCATTGAACTGTGCTGCAGACAGACTTCTCAATTTTATGGAGGAAAGGAGAGGAGGGGAATCAGTCCAGAGACAGCGTGCGGAGTGTGAATACCTGTCATGTCAGTGCTAGTGCTTTCAGTCACTCCTGTTACTTCCAAACAAGAAACTGCTGTTTGGGAAACTGTTGCTGCTAGAAAAAATGGGAATCTCTTTCCCAAGAGAGGACTCTTCCTCTGTTCTTAGAGTGGGTTTAGTTAGCCTCACTGCGTGAAAGGGGAATCAATCACAGATTACCATACTCAGCGGCTCTGTATTTACATATGTAATCCACATCTTTTATTGCCATTAGCCAAGCCGGCTGTGGCTTTGAGTGGAAACACCTGGACACCTTTGGCTAAGGAAAGTATGTGCTTGTTTAAGGGAAGTGAAAGGGAAGAGCATTGAATGGCTTCCTGTTCAGGACTGGTTTTACACAGGTGCTTCTATGTAAGGTTCTGTAAATGTAACTCATCATAAAGAAAACTGTGTCAGAGAAATTAGTAGACCTTTAAACTACTACCCTTGTCCCATTTTTTTAGAATAGTTTATCCAGAATACAGAGCTGGTTCATTGATCGGGCACTCACTGTGGTGCATTCAAACATAGACTGAATGTCATATGATGATCAGACTCACACTTTAATGAGAGATTTCAAAGCAACTATAGAATGGCTGTGATATCTTGCTGAGTAAAATTTCACTGGCCTGAGGCTACCAGTCAGTGAAAATAAGTACATTGATGTTTGTCATGTCTGTGGAACATTTCCTCCTTTTCATTCTGTGATCTGTATACTGTAGACTTGATAATCCTGAACAAGCATATAATCAAGAACCAAAACAAATAATGGATTCCCCCCCCCCCCCCAATTTGAAAGCAACTTTTAAAACCACCTCATTAAATTGTGAGTCTTTTGAATATCTATTTCTTAATGAGACCATTTGGTACTCTCACACACCCTTTTCCTTTTGATACAGTATGCTTAATGCAGTTTGGAGAAGGAAGAAAAGTACATTATAATGTATAATATATTATCTAGGCTAAGCTGTGACAGCTTCTACTTCTGACATGCTCAAGTAGAACAGATTCCCTTGGAGTATGTAAAAGTTTCTGAGTACAAAGGTGCAAGGAATTATAATGGGTCTTGGGCTAGAGGGGTACTTGCCTTCAGTAGAACATCAAAATGACACCTCCTAGAGTGAACTTCATAAAGAGAGAAGCATCTCCGAATAGCTGATAGAACCTTAGGGGAAAGACATGTCAAAGTATTTTATTTTTGATGTCTGAACTTTTCACACTGCTTGTGAAAGGCGCATACACTACTGTAGTGTAAGCTGAAGATTTACAAGATGAAAATGAATGTTCCAAGATGCTGGTTTAGCATAGGAGCCCATGTGCTTAGAGGGCAGGATGTCTGGTGACAATGCTCTTTGGGCTCCTCCCTGGTACATGTTTTGAAACACTTGGAAATCATCATCAGGGGAAAAGCAAAGAAAAATCTAGGGTCTCCAATTCGAGTTTTATCGAAAATGAATTATTCCTGGGAAAATGCAGTAAAAATCCTGACTAGAACTGCTACAGTGGTTACAGTTCCAGGTACAGCTGAGAAGGTTGGAACAGAAACCAGCTCCTATCTCTCTGGTTTTTCCTTTGAGGCTAGTGATTAGAAGCTTGACCTTAGTGGACATGGTGTAGTTCTACACACTAACATTGTGTGGTTTTGTGGTGCAGAGTCCGGAATAAGTCAGATTCTGCAGTTCCTAATGACAGGTGCCAAGAGGTTATGATACGGGTTTTTTGGGTATGTGATATATAGTGTGAATAAATGCTTGCAGCTCTTAGTCTTTTATGATCAATGAAGCACTTTTTTATTAATATTATTTTTCTTTGTATGTAAAGGGGGAACCGATATCTCTCCATAGCTGTATATATAACCCTTCTCTCCTAAGGAGGAGTAAAGTGCTCCTATATTTTTCATTTTTGTCAAAGCAAGAAGTAAATACTTTAGAAATGTTAAATATATAAATAAAGGTGAATAAAGTTTAGAGTTTTGCATGGGAGCATTTGCTAATACACTTCCTAATTTATTTTTCTTGCTGTCCTTCGTAGGTGAAATATTTGAGGTTCAACAGAAACACCAAGAAACCTTTCATAAAGGAGCTTGTCATAAGCCTCCTCTTGCTTTCTTTTCCACTGAGAGTCTTTGCAAGGAGCACACTGGTGCTCTTAAATTTAGAAGAAAAACATTAAACTTAGTTTTTCTGGTATGAAAACATATGGAGCATCAGGTATTGCTCCATAACAATCAATACAGTTTTCTCTTGGGCAGGAGTACTGGGTGTTAAGAGAGTTAAAACTACCTTTGTACCTCAGATTTCTCTTACCCTGAATGGACCATCAAATTTCAGAGTTTGAGCCAATGACTTTATTACCACAACCACATCAGTGTAGAATGGTCTAGGTCACCACAGTCTTCACATCCGGTTTCAGTGGAGTTTGGAAACAGGAGATCTGTGCATTTCTATCCTCTGCAGTAACCATGCTGTAACATTTACCATTTGACAATGTTGGTGGGGAAGTTAAAGCTCAGTTCTTACTTGCAACCTTTCTCCTTATTCTCAATGTTGATGGTGCAGCTGTGGCTCTTTGGGAACAAACCAAACGGACTCAGGTTTAACGCTGAAAACTCTCTTCATCTCTCCCAAAGGTGGAGAACTCATCTGCTAGTTCTGCAAATCTAACCTACTTAGGGGCCTGAGTAATGTTCCTCCATTAGGGCAGCTAGTTCATTTCAGCACCCCAGGCTTACATACATACCTAGTCACTTTCCATCACACAAACTTCTATTCCTTTTGTTATTATTTTTGTCTTCCATATTTTAAGTCAGAGAAGGGATTATTTTATTGAACTCTCTGGGAGACTGAAGTATTCTCTGAGCATCTCTTGGTTATTTAGGGACATCCCTGTTCTAGTCACACAGGTGTGGTGCACAGTTGTTTTATAAGTTTTTCTTATTGCCTTTTCTTTGAAAATTAAATAATACTGCAGATTCGGGACAGAGCAGGGATCAAAACCATTGGCTGTATCTCACAGCTTCAAGAACAAAATAAAAAAGCCCATATAATATTGTGCGCTATTATGGGTGCGAGTTTGTCACAGAAGTAATGTATTCCGTGACCTCAGTGACTTCTGCAGCGGCCAGTGCACCTGGCTCAGGGGCAGCTCAGGCAACCCCTGCTCCAGTCACACCGGCCACTGCTGGGGAAGTCGCAGGCCACCGTTTCTTCCCTCCCCCCACCCCAGCAGCAGCAGAGTTTGGGTGTGTGAGGGGACAGGGGTACGGGACGGGTGCTGGGCGGTGCTTCTTCGAGTGATTGCTCATGTGCATTCCACAATAGGTGTGCGTGCTTGCCACATGCACTAGTGCTGCAAGTTTTTCCCCTAGCAGTACCCGTAGGGGAGCGTCCCTAGCAACCCCTAGAGTGGCGCCTCCATGGCGCGGTATAAGGGGCGCTGCGCACTCCCCCCACCCTCAGTTCCTTCTTACCGCCAGTGAAGGTGCTTCGGAACTGCTCTGTTCCAGTTCTGCTGCAGTTCTCCTCCAGAACCCTTGTTTGTTTGTTCTAATCAACTACTTAACTACCTGTACTTAACTACTTACAGTTAATCTAATCAACTACCTGTAGTTAAGTAGTTGATTAGATTAGTTTAGTGCAGCCAGGCCGGAGCATGACCCGTGCCCTGGGTTGTAAGTAGTGCCACACTTGTAGGCTCCCGATGCCAGTGAGTGATCCGCACACGGACTGTTTACACTGTTTGGGTGAAACCCATCTCAGTGATCGCTGTAAGATTTGCAAGTCTTTCAAGCCTCGGACCGAGAGAGACATTCGGCTCTGGGCCATCCTGATGGAGTCGGCATTGACCCTGACTCCGGCGCGCCGCTCCAAGTCGGCACCGGGTGCCACGCTTTCAGTGCACAGGGACCCCCCCGGTGCCATCTACCAGTCGGCACCGCTCCCCGTCCACTGGGCACACCAAGAAGGCTAAGAAGAGGCCTTCGCCGCCGCGGCACTGGAGCAAGACTGGGGGAGAGGCTAGACGTATGTTG